GGGGGGGGGGGGGGGGGGGGGGGGGGGGGATATGCTGAGATGTGGTCGATGTGGTGATGGTTGATGGAGGACCCGATTAGGTAGGCGGTGTGGCTGCTAGGAGGTGTATTATATATGTGAGCGTCAATCCTTCTCCGTACTCTGGTCACCTCTACAATACGCGACACAACTTGAAGAAGGAAAAACTCTCGGTTTCTTATACGGGGATTCATCCTATCTAGTTATTCTCCCTTATTTACTTGAATAGAAGGCTTGGATATAAAATGACATGACTACGGGAATCAAGCAGCCGTCGTCGCTGAAGCGGCCTTGAATGACTGCTCAAAGTCGGCAATAATATCGTCAATGTGCTCGATGCCGACAGAGATGCGAATAAGATCCTGGTAGTCACGCAGTCAGCTTGTATTTCACTTCCAAACATGGATCTGAGAGGGGAATGGAGTGAGTACCTCGGTCACACCAGAATCAATCTTTTCCTCGTCCGACAGCTGTTCGTGCGTCGTGCTCCAGGGGCTGTGGGAAGTCAGCATCTCTTTGTGAAGAGGGAGAGCGGGAGAAGGAACACAGATGAAGGACACATGAGAAATGGGGGGGGGGGGGGTAGGGAAGAAGAAGAAGAAGAAGAAAACTCACTGGATAGCCAGAGTCTTTGCATCTCCGACATTGGCCAAGTTTGAAATGAGCTTGAAGCCGTCGACGACCTGACTTCCAGCGGCACCACCACCCTTGACGCCGAAGCTGAGGACGCCGCCAAAGCCGTTGGGCAGGAGCTTCTTGGCGCGCTCGTGGTAAGGGTGGGCCTGGAGGCCGAGGTACGAGACCCAGGAGACGTAGGGGCTGGCGTCGAGATAGTTTGCCAGGGCGAGGGCGTTCTGGGCGTGGCGCTCCGCCCGCAGGCTGAGGGTCTCGATGCCCAGGAGCAGCTGCTGCGCGGCGAAGGGGTTGAGGGTGGCCCCGAGGTCGCGCAGGGTCTCTACACGGGCGCGGATGATGAAGGACTCTCGACCGAAGGTGTCCCAGAACTTGAGGCCGTGGTAGCCCTCGGACGGCTGGACGAACTGGGGGAAGCGGTCGCCGTGCGCGCCCCAGTCGAACCTCCCGGCGTCGACGATGACGCCGCCGATGGTGGTGCCGTGGCCGCCGATCCACTTGGTGGCCGAGTGGACGACGATGTCGGCGCCGTGGTCGATGGGCCGCACGTAGTAACCTCCGGCGCCGAAGGTGTTGTCGACGACGAGGGGCACGCCCTTGGCGTGGGCGGCCGAGGCGATGGCGGCCAGGTCGGGGACGTTGTACCGCGGGTTGCCGATGCTCTCGACGTAGACGGCCTTGGTGCGGTCGTCGATGGCGGCCGCGATGTCGGCCGCGTCGTCGCCGCGGACGAACTTGGTCTGGATGCCCAGCCGGGGGAGGAAGACCTTGAGCTGGTTGTACGTGCCGCCGTACAGGTTCGTCGTCGACACGATGTTGTCGCCCGCCTGCGCCAGCGTCGCGAACGTGATGAACTGCGCGCCCTGGCCGGACGACGACGCCAGCCCGGCGGCGCCGCCCTCCAGGGCCGCCATGCGCTTCTCGAACACGTCCACGGTAGGGTTCATCAGGCGGCTGTAGATGTTGCCGAACTCCTTGAGCCCGAAGAGCCGTGCGCCGTGCGCCGAGTCGTTGAAGGTGAAGCTCTGCCGATCAGGTTGGTCAGCCCATCCGCAACGTACCGAGGCCGACGCAGCGAGGGGGGTCCTCCTACCGTCGTGGCATAGATGGGCACCGCGCGGGATTTGGTCGTCGGGTCCGGCTCAGCACTGCCAGCATGGTCAGCTCCTGGAGATGGAGGTTGGTGCTTCCCTCTCCCGCTCCCGTCTTACCCCGCGTGCAGCTGCAACGTCTCAAACTTGTCAGACATGGTTGCAGAAGATGTCGGTGCTGAACCACGGTCAGAGAGCAGATGGTCAACGTTGCTTTACGGAGAGGGTCGAGAAAGGGCACCAGATGTCTGGATAGAGACTAGAGACTTCTACTGTGCGGAACGGAAAAGATCCTTGCAGAGGCGATGGGAACGAGCTCGGAATATAAGAGACATCACGCCTTATAACGACGCCGGCCGGCTGAATGGCGTTTCCCGAACATGCACCCAGGGACCGTTGACTTCTACCCCTCCCCCCTCTCCCTCTCTCTGTGAACGTACATCATAGGCAACCCCATTGCTGGTAATGATGCCACTTTTTTCTTATTTTTTTTTATTTTTTTTAGCGACTCCCCTCTTAACAGGTACGACTAGACACCGTCGGGATCGTCTCCAATTAGATGATGAGGGATATCAGTATCAGCAGCCTTGGCCGAGAAGAAAGCAAAGGATCGAGAGGGGTCTCCTCCCCCTTCCGCCGAGCACGCCATCGCATCGCGTCGCTTGTCGCTGTCGCCACGAAACCCTCTCATCACGCCACCCAACCATATCACGACCAAGCTAAGCATTACGGCGTATCATCGTTGTCTGTCCGTCTTTCCCTGCGTCGTGCTTTTGAACCACACACACACACACACACACACATATGGATGTATATGTATATATATATATTTATACATCACCGATTTCGGAATCAACCAGACATCGGAGGAGAGGGGTGTGAACTGTACACGGTTGTGCTCAGAAGTGTTGATCCGATCCGTCCTAGCTTCAGGTTCCAACCCCGCGCTCCCCTCCCCCTCCCCCCACCACTACAGGAGGTGCATCAGCTGGGGAAGGCTTGTCTGGAGAGTGAGTGTATTGGTGGTCCTCTGGGACAATGTCAGCCGTGCCGTATACACATGGATTATTATTGTTGTTGTTATCTTATATATGTATATATATATGTATATATGTGTATATATGTATATATATGTATATATATATATATATATATAGATATAGATATATATGTGCATATTATATAGGTACACCATCTCATCTGAGGTGTGACAGTACCCCTTGATGAGAGGCGCATGCGCCGGTATGCCTTCATCATGATACGTATCTAATGGTAATTCTATCCAACGATTCCTTGTATAAAAAAAAGGACGGGCAAGAACGCTGTCAGGTTACAGTATCCCAACATGCAAAAGAAGAACAAGAAAAGGCCTGGTCACCTCCTGTTACGCCCTGACGCCATGTATTATATGCCAACCAAGAGCATTCGGATGGGATGGAAGGTGGAGAGGGACGGGAGCGATTATCAGGAGATGGGAGAGGGCAGACACCCTCCCCCTTCCCCCCTTGTACACCATCTCAGCACCAAAACCAGCCGAAGATCCATCCAGCCAGCAGAGAGGGGAGAGGCAGAGAGGAGTCGGTGACGATATTTTCCTCACCACATTTCCCTCCCAGCCATGGCTAGACGTCTCGCTGCTGCTCCTGCTCCTGCGTGCGCCTCATGCCAGCCTCCCTCTCCTCCTGCATCTGCTTCTGGCGCATCTGCGTGCCCAAGGGCTGGACGGAGTGGACGCCGTTCCCGTGCTCGGGTCCGCCGCGGAAGAGGAGCTTGGCCAGCAGGATGGCGGTGGCGATCCACGAGGCGAACTCGGCGGCGGCGACGACCGAGGTGGCGCGGGCGACGGCGCAGAGGGCGCCGGTGCAGAAGCGGAGGCGGCTGAGGAAGATGGCCAGGGCGATGAAGCCCCCAAAGTAGAAGACGGTGTTGGTGACCTCGACGGCCATGGAGGCGGCGGGTGACGACGCCCGGGGCGCCAGCCGAGGCGCCAGCTCCAGGTAGGCAGCTGAGAAGAGGGAGAAGATGGGGGCGAAGAGGAGGAAGTCGACTGACGAGGGGGAGGACGAGTAGGACGGGTCGGCTAGGGACCAGCTTATGACTGGAGAGGGGGGGGGGGGGGGGGGGGGCGCCTGAGAAGCCCAATACGCCTGACCAGCTGTCGACGAGGAATGGACCTACTGGGTTGGTCAAGTAAAACTTTCCAAGAGGCCACCTATTACAGTGGGTGTAGTGCCTGGTCCAATAGGTGACCATGCCCCTGCAGCCGGCTGCGTACGGCGTACAGTGAGCGCTACAGTGTGCCTCAGCACCCCGGCCGGAGAGGATTTCGCCTCCGTACGGCGCTGCACTCGTAGCAGGATCCATCGATGCAATGATGGGCAGCAGGATGTGCTCGTATGCTTTCCATCTTATTGCAAGCCTGGCCAGTCTGGCGCCTCTGGCGCCTCTCGCGCCTTATCCTCCGATATCGCCCAGCGCTCCTCGGAGTTGTTTGGTCAGCAACGATGATGAGACATCTGAGTGGCTGGATCCCATGCCCATCTTTGTCAGCAACTCTCCTTCTCACGTAGAGCCTGGCCTGACGGTGTCCAGCGGATCTCGGACTACGGAGATGCCGTCTACAGGATTGAGACAAGATGGGATCCCCCACTCTCGATGATATTGTTCCCCTCCGATAGAGAAGAAGAAAGAGGAAGAAGAAAAAATTGTGGATTCTCTCTCTCACAGACGCGTACAGCTTACATATACATGTACCCGTAGACGAGACTACCATCGCAGGTAATAAGTATCATGTACAGATTAGTAAAATGCACTATGGGCCCTTTTGACGGAGAAATGACATACCCTCCTCCCTGAAGTCGTAGTCCGTGATGGTAGAGCGGTACGTCCTTTATCAATCAATGCCCGAGCAGTGAACCTGAGCGCCGAGTACTGAACAAGGACACTGCTTTAGCCTCAAGTACGCAGTCCTGCCCCACAGGAGCTCCCTCTCTCCGAGGAAAAACGCATGATCTCATCCCGCGTCGAAAATCATGACAGGCAAACTCCACCATCCTGCAGTCCACCTCCCTCTCTCCCTTGTCTCTCGCCCTCTCCGTTCCCCTCTCCCCCAACTCGATTCGACTCTTGTGCTTCTCGTCCCCATCTTATTCCCCTATGAGACTCGATAATCAACTGTGCCCACCCAGTCTTTTCTTGTTTTTGTCTTGCTTTCCTCTGCCCCCCCCCCCCCCCCCCCCCCCCCCCCCCCCCCCCCCCCCCCCCCCCCCCCCCCCCCCCCCCCCCCCCCCCCCCCCCCCCCCCGGCCCTCGGGGTCGGGTGTGGTGGGGGCGGGCGGGGGGGGGGGGGGGGGGGGGGGGGGGGGGGGAGGGGAGAGGCGGGTGTTAGTTGGTGAACTGCTCTCTTGCCTTGGTAGATTCTTGCTACACCTTGCAATATATATATATATATATATATATATATATGTATGTATGTATATAAATATCTGTACGATGATGCACGCACGTATATCGGATAGGACTCGAGGGCTGAACGTACCGAGTGATGCGAGGGCTATGTTGGTTATTGCGGCCAAGACCTGCATGACGCGCAGTACCACGATGACGGACCTGTCCATTCTCCTTCTTCCTTTTCTTCCTCCTCTTTCTCTATCAAGATTTCCTTCTTCGCTTTCCAAGAAGAAGAAGAAGAATCAAGAGGAAGGAAAGAAAGAGGTATGGCTTATCGGCATATGATATCGGTCGGGTCGATGGTTGGGGAGCAAGTAATATTACCCCCCCCAGAAAAAAAATTGCGAAGGGGGGGGGATACGATGACGACAAATTGGACGGGTTAACTCGTAAAACGGTCTGCGAGAGCGTGTGTGTGTTGCGGAATCTCGGTTTCGATGGTAATGGCAATGGATTGAGGATCTTCTTTCTTGTTCTCAAAAGACATGTATATCAATCCATTCCGTTCCCTCTCTCTCTCTCCCGGCTTCATCATCAAGAGATCAAGGAGAGAGAGGATGGTGTGAGGAAGCAGAAGCAGCGGCGGCGGCCATGTAGAGGGGGGGGAGAGGGAAAGAGAAGAGGAGCACGGCAACGGCACCTGGTCCTGACCACACAGAACTTTTTCTTAAAAAGAGTGGACTCTTTTTCTTTAAAATAATATGTGTTTGAGTGGACTCTTCTCTCTCTCTCTCTCTCTCTCTCTCTCACTCTCTCTTTCTTTCCTCTCTCTCCATTGTCAGGTCATGGGCCTTGTGCGTTGTGGATCCCTCTTTACCTTTTTCCCCGAGTTCTGTCCGGATCCAACCCCAGAACAGACGAGGGGGGGTGAGAGCCAAGACAAGACCATCAAGACATTGTCTTCCCATCTCAAGTGCCGTCCTCCAAAGACAGGATCTTGTACGAGGGACGGAGGTAGGCGTGGGATCCCGGGTGGCGATTGTTTCATACCATTGCACATGTACCATTACACATGTCGCCATCAGCGTACAGAGTTGTCGAAGAGGAAGAAAGGGGAGAAGGAGAGGAAAGAAAACTAGGAGAAGAAGGAGGAGACAAGGAAATATCGTACATCTTGCCATCAGCGTCGTACTGTACAGAGTACGCACAGATTCCTACGGCCCGAATCGCTCGGCGGGGGGTTGACAAGTTACGAGGTGGAAAAAATAAAATAAAAATAAAGATAAAAATAACAATAATAATAAAACAGAAGAAGAAAAATATGTGGAACATCTCAAGAGTGTCGTCGGCGGTCAGACACGGTGGTCGTGGTCTAGCAAGGGACAAGAGAGGAACGCTGGCCTGGGCAGGGATGGAATGTATGACCTTCTTCAATAATGAGCTGTCGTCGGGAGTTGGGGCTTGGGGGGGGGGGGGGGGGGGGGGGGATTCAAGATAGAAGAGGGCCGACGTCAATCCATTGTATGCATCGGATCTTATACGGTCTACGCGTGACGTATCTCGAAAGTGAAAGGGTGGTGAGGATTGTTATTATTGTCATCATGATCGTGAATACATGTATGTACCTACCTGCAGTAGCAATCAATATACATCAGCATGTAGTATCAGCTCGACAATTCTGTACAGATTACAGGTAGGTATGCAGCGAAAACATAGATACTGACCAGACAGATCAATTGGCCTGGAAAGAGGAGAGAGACAAGACAGCAAGAGACAAAAAGGTGGACGTAAAAATGTGACATCATGACATGAAACCACTGTACCCATGTCTCTCCAAGAGACGACGACGGTATTGGTCGGCACAGAATCGCACGGTCGCACCCAGATTAGATTGCCCGACAGACCAAGCTCTGCTTAGCAGCTTGGTCCGTACCGAACATCTCGGAATCCAACAAGACTCGGATTAAGAAAGCGCCGCATTCTCGGCATTGCCCCAGGTGAAAACAAGGGGTGGTGCCCTTGCCTTCTATAGGCTGTCAGACTGTCCGACTGCCAATCTCTGCCGGCCACGGGCTTGATCATTCCAAGCTTCTTGTAGGAGAGGCCGGAGATGGATAAGCCCCGCCCCCCCCCCCGGGTATCAATCAGCCTTGCCGTATCCTATGCCCTGCAGGTGCAATGTATGGGAGAAGACGAAGCTGGCGGGGAGCACGAGTACCTGTGCTCTGCACAGGTCAGACTGCCAGGCATCTGAGATGATACAAGATGGACAGGTCAGTTTCCGACTGCCAATATCAGGATTCAACGTTCAACATTACCAGATACATGGGAGAGTGGTGATGATATTCCTCGTCTCAGTACATGCATGCAATCGGCAATCTGTATCTGTACCTCCCCCCCTCCCGAGTCCGAACCGCATGCACCTTCACCTTCACGTGAAGAGCCAGCTCACAGCCAAGTATCGGATCGGGGGCATGGGTGGGTGGTATAACCCCCCCTCTCTCCAGCACTTCGTACTTCGAGTCCTCGATATCCGTAGACGGGCTGCTCTCTAATCATGTCGGTGGCAGCGTGGCAACCCCGCACATTCGGCATGTGCACACATACTAATATGGGGTAGCACGCTGTCGACTCAGCACATGACGCGTTGTATCCGACTAGGCTTCAGATAACGAATGATAGCCGTGATTCCCATACCAGCAGTAGAAGGATCGATATCGCAGACGGAGGTACCACGAGTCCCTCACATCTTTCCCTCCTCACCACCAGGATACGGGACGCATCCTTCAGAATACCGGAATCGTCATATAGGAACAAACAGAGACAAGAAGAAGAGAGAAAGGTGGAGAGGAAGAAAAACCTCCTAAGAAGAAGAGAAAAAAAAAAAAAAAAAAAAAGAGAAAAAGGTGGAGAGGAAAAAAAACCCCCAAAAAAAAAAAAAAAAAAAAAAAAAAAAAAAAAACTGACTGCCGATGACTCGTACAGGGTAGCTGATGTCACCGGGTAACACGACATGATCCCAACAGCCTCTTTCGGCATGTATTACCTGGGGCGCATATGGCACGTATAGCCCGGGGAGCAGCCCACAGCAGCCCACAGCAGCCCACAGCAGCCCACAGCAGCCCGGCGTCATACCATGTAACGATATGTACGGGTACGTTGCGTCGACCTGCACCTGCACCTGTACCTGCCGTACCCTGTACCCGTAGAGCCTGTAGGCGCAGCACCACCAAGCCTCGGCCCACAACCGCAGGCAACTCCACAAGCCCAACTTCAGCTCTCCTGGACCTCGGCGCACCCCAAAAAGGGCCCCCAGAGCAGTCAAGCGGAGCCACCGCTCGTCCCGAGACAGACCAACCCCATCCATTACATTTCCACTCACTGCCTTCCTCTTTTCTCTGCCGGGTCGTTATTAAACTACTACTACCTTACTACTTTGGCACTAGTACTCTGTCCCGAAGCTCTCCCTCCCACGCCATCCTCATCTTCTCCTTGCCTCCTGCCCCTGCATCGGACGAGCCGTACATACGACTCCCCGTCGACAGCCACACTCCCTTCCCCCCTCCTCTCTCAGCCGGAGACGATAGACCGGAGAAGCACTGCGTATAAATCCCGTCCCATCTCCAGCATACAGAGAAGCTCGAACGGCAGAGACGTCCTCGTATACAAGGGAGACACCGACACCACCATCACCGCCACCACGAACCATCACCGCCATGGCCCCCTTCGATCCCTCCTCCGTCATCAGCGACCTCATGCGGCCTCCTCCGCCCGGCCACCCCCACGGCCTGCCCATCCCCGGATCCGAGCGTCCCAACCGCACGGCCGTCTACCGTCACTGGCGGTTCCGCGACCAGCCGCTCCTCACCACCTTCGACCCCGAGGTTCAGACCCTGCACGACCTGTTCGAGTCGTCAGCCCAGAGGTTTGGCAGCTACCGCTGTCTCGGGACCCGCGCCTGGGACCCGGCGGCGCGTAGCTGGAAGGACAGGTACGACTGGCTCTCGTACGCCGAGGTGGCCCAGCGCAGGACCGACCTCGGTGCCGGCATCGTCGAGCTCCACAAGACCATCGGCCACCCCAAGGACAAGTACGGCGTTGGCCTGTGGTCTCTGAACCGTGCCGAGTGGCAGCTGACAGGTACGTCCCTACCGAGGACCCTCATCCTGCCGAGCAGGACCTCCCTCTGCTACTCCGGACGGTGCCGATCACCGCATGCGCGGAAGACTGACCTCTGACGGGACGGCAAACAGACCTCGCCTGCAGCTCCCAATCCCTCTACTCCGTCTCCCTCTACGAGACGCTCGGCCCCGACGCGACCGAGTACATCATCAACCATGCCGAGCTGGCCTGCGTCGTCTGCTCGCTCCCGCACATCCCCACCCTGCTCAAGCTGGCCCCGAAGCTGCCCGGCCTCAAGTTCATCGTCTCCATGGACCCCCTGGACGCCGGCGAGGTGGGCCCCCTGACCAAGTCGGCCGTGCTGAACGACCTGGCGGCCCAGCACGGCATCAAGGTCTACTCCCTCACCCAGGTCGAGGAGATCGGCGCCCGGTCGGGGCGGGGGGCCCGCCCCCCCTCGCGCGACGACATCAGCACCATCAACTACACCTCCGGCACCACCGGCATGCCCAAGGGCGTGGTGCTGACCCACGCGAGCGCCGTGGCGGCCAACTCGGCCTCCCGCCTAGGCGGGACGGTGCTCCCCAAGGACGTCCACATCTCGTACCTGCCGCTGGCGCACATCTACGGCCGCGTCGTCGACAGCGTGGCCCTGTCCGAGGGCGCGGCCATCGGCTACTTCCGCGGCGACGTGCTCGGGCTGGTCGACGACATGAAGATCCTGCAGCCCACCGGCTTCATCTCGGTGCCGCGGCTGTTCAACCGCTTCAACTCGGCCATCCGGGCCGCCACCATCGAGGCCGACGGCTTCAGGGGCGCCCTGTCCCGGCGCGTCATCGAGGCCAAGAAGGCCAGCATGCGGGCGCCGCCGGGCAAGGCGTCCAACAAGCACTTCCTGTACGACCGCATCTGGACGCCCAAGGTGCGCGACGCCGTCGGCCTCAGGCGGGCCCGCGCGCTCATCAGCGGCAGCGCCCAGCTGGACCCGGACGTGCAGGAGTTCCTCATGGCCGCCTTCGCCGTCGAGTTCCACCAGGGCTACGGCCTGACCGAGTCCTTCGCCAACGGCACCATCCAGCTCGAGGGCGACTTCGAGACGGGCAACATCGGCCCGCCCGCCGCCGCCATGGAGGTCTGCCTCGAGTCCGTCACCGAGTTCGAGTACACGGTCGACGACAAGCCCAACCCGCGCGGGGAGCTGCTCATGCGCGGGCCGCCCATCTTCACCGAGTACTACAAGAACCCCGAGGAGACGGCCAAGGCCCTCGAGCCGGACGGCTGGTTCCACACGGGCGACATTGCCGAGATCGACAGCAAGGGTCGCCTGCGCATCATCGACCGCAAGAAGAACGTGCTCAAGCTCAGCCAGGGCGAGTACATCTCGCCCGAGCGCATCGAGAACGTCTTCCTCGGCAACACCCCCATCATCTCGAGCGCCTACGTCCACGGCTCGCCCAAGGAGTCGACCCTCGTCGCCGTCCTGGGCATCGAACCGGAGGGCTTTGCCCCCTTCGCCTCCAAGATCCTCGGCACGCCCGTACCCCAGGCCGACACCGCCGCCCTCACCGCCGCCGCGCAGGACCCCAACGTCCGCGCCGCCGCGCTCAAGGTCCTCGAGGACATCGCCCGTAGCCACAAGTTCAACTCGTTTGAGCGCGTCCGCAACGTGCACCTTGCCGTCGAACCCTTCACCATCGAAAACAACCTCGTCACTCCTACGTATGTCTTCCTCACCTAGCACCCCCGCGACCCTCTATCGTGAGAACTCTTCCACTGCCTGCTCTCCCCTCTTCAACTCTGATGTGAACACCTGCACAGCACTACTACCTACCTACCTTTACCCATCTCACTCCTCTCACTCCTCTCCTCTACACACACACACACACTGACACTAAACCGTATAGTCTCAAGATCAAGCGTCCCCTGGTCGCCAAGGCATTTGACGACGTCATCACCCAGCTGTACAAGGAGCTCGAGTCGCAGACCCCTAGCAAGGGTAAGCTGTGAGGGCGAGATCGTTACGGTCTGTAGGGCGAAGGATAAGAGATGAGACGATAAGGTGCAGGCAGGAGAGGAGGGGTATCGTTGTTCAGCACTATCATCACCAGGTGGTGATTCATCTTATTCTTTCATCATCAACCAAGGCAACGCAAAGCCTCTGGAGAGTGTATTATTTCTTTTAATGTCGTCTCGCAAATTTCTCTCTCTTCTCTTCTCTTCTCTCCTTCTCTTGCTTTCTTCCCTTCCGGTTGTGCGGCAGAGCAGTTGTAGAGCTTGTCTATTATATATACCTATCTAGCTGGGATGGGAATCCAATCTATAGCTGAGCGACCGCTTCCTCATCACGGCTGCACACCAACTCGTCGTAGAGGAACGGCCATCGAACGCAGCGAGTACGGACGACGTGTGAACGACACAATGATCTGGAAGGAGAGCGACCACTCGCGGGGCCGGTATGAACCGTCGAAGCTACAACGCCGCCGAACGAGCATGACGTAAATGGACCCTTAGACCCTATTGTTCTCGATCCGATATACCTGCCATACTTTGACCGTGCATTTCATCCATAGCTTAGGTAAGCGGGACTCGACTACAATAACGTCGGATCCGTCCCTTCTAGCATAGACGACAACCACCAATACGTACACATCAGCTGGCAGACCGCAAGACATACTTAACGCGACGAGCATGCCTCTTCTTGTGTGACGATACCGGTCGATCGAGCCATAACGTCATCGAGACCTCCGAAGATGGGGTCTTGACCTGCAACTCTGCGAATGCGGCACCCCGGAATATCGAACGGTTCATCTGAGCGGACATCGATGTGTGCCGTTCACAATGACGAGATACTTGCACCCTTTAAGAGTCCATGGGACTTGATAAGTTGGAGACCTCCCCCCCCCCCCCCCCCCCAAAAAAAAAAAAAAAAAAAAAAGACGAAATATTGACGATGGAAGAGGGAAGATGAGTAGCAGAGTGATCCTTTCCTATATTCGCTCCTATATTAGAGATCAGCCTAGCGTCTCTAAGAATTCTAAAATAGCTATCTCTTGAGAGGAATCGGAACGACAGTTCGTCCGGAGAAAGGAGAGCCTATTAAGCCAGTGACTAACTCGACTAATGAAGCGGAGCCCCACATAATTTTCTAAAGAGAGCCGCCCTTCACGAAACACATAACGCCTCTAATTAACGAAAGATTCTAATTATACTCGTATGCAACCAACTGCTGGACTAACGACCAACGCGGACGCGTCTCCCTTCCGCGCGTCTCGCGAACAAGGCCCGGCCCATGCTACATAGCTCACGGCAGGAGCGGGTGCGAGACGATGCTCCTGGTCCTCCCCCTCCCTCCGCCGCCATGAGCAACGCCGCCATCGCCTCCACCACCATTCTCGTCCCCGAAGTCATCGACCTGACACTCCTCGACTCACCACTCCACCCGCACGCCGCCACCAAGCCACTGCTAGCGTCGAGGGCGCCGCCGGCGACGGCAGCAGCCAGACCTGCTGCTATCCTACCATGGCCGTCACCACCGTCGGCGCCGCGGCGACGGCACGAATCCGGGAACGAGCATGCTGACCGTGCTGCCCAGAAACCGCCCCCCAGCAAGAGGAGACGCGTCGACGGCGGCGTCTTAAGCACTAGCGGCGGGAACGGAAACGCCGGCGCGAAAGACGTGAACGGCATGTACGGCGTCGAGAACACGGTCTCGGGAATCAGCCATGTCAAGAGCAAGGTTCTCAACGCCAAGGTTGCCGGTGCCGCCTCTGCGCGAAAGGAGCCGCCAAGGCCCCGTCGACCGTATAAGGATTGCTTGACGGCTCAGGTGCTCCCCCACGTGGTCAGGGAGGTGTACGCGCTGTCGCCTGTGACTGCGTACCGGCTCGACGAGCTTGCTCAGGATGTATGGACAGAGACTTCCGTTCTGTTTGCTCTGTTTGCCTTTTGGCTGACCGGTTATCCAAGGTTATCGTACGGATCGCCCAGGCGTCATACGTTCGCTGTCGCCATGATGAGACGCGCGGTTACTTGACCGCGCAGGATGAGACGTACCTCTCCGCAGAGGTTAAGACCTTGGTCAAGGAACTCTCTCGGGATACTGTTGGCCCCCCCCCCCCCCCCTTTTTTTTTTTTTTCTTTCTTTCCCCCCTTTGTATCTAGGCTCTGAAAATCTGTTCTAACATGTTTTGCTTATATAGAAATACAAAGTTACTGCTGGTGTCAAGTCGGACACACAGGAGGATCTCAGGCCGGAGCCAATGATCACGGCGACGACTGCGAGCCTGACTATGAGTGCGCCGGAAGTAGAAGAAAAAGAGGGGCGTAAGGATGAGCTGAGCAGACAAGTCAACGGGTCCGAGAACCTCTGGTTCAAAAGAGGTCCACGACCCTACATCATGGCCCAGGAGCGGGAGCACATCCGCAGGGGCGTGTCGCGGCTCAAACGTGCTCCGGCCAAGGCCATACAGCAACCAGTCGTGTACCACGTCGACTTTACGTCGGACGAAGTCACCCAGATTGTCACGTATCTCAACAAGCTGCACCGATACGATCGGCCGCGCACGCTGGACGCGCTACGCCTCTACGTGCGAGAGAATGCGCCCGTCTCCGTCATCGTGGGCGACCAGGTCCCCGGTCGTACTAGCGAAGATATTCGCAAGTTCTGCTCCGATATACTGGCTGGCAGGGCGTCGTACCCTGATAGGCTGCGCGTCCTCTCGTTCGGACCGGAGGAGCAGGGGAACGAACGGCCGGCCGGTGGTGAGTCGGACGGAGACATTGAGTATCGGCAGGGGCCGCGCGTGTCCGCGCTCCTCCTCGCCCGGGAGCTGGAAGGCAACCGGGGGTTCGGACGCATGCGGGGCTACGAGAACTTTCAGAACGAATTCCCCCGGAGCCTGGAGGACGACCTAGGTATCGTAGCCGAGTTCACCAACTGCGCCGGTGACGTCTCCACCATATCCTGGGTGTCGGGCGGCGACATCGTCTGCGGCACCACGACGCATTCGGACAGCCACAACCAGCAGTACAACAAGCCTGGGAATCTGCTGCTCGGGTCTCTAGCGTGCGGGAGGCTCCAGGCGTACCCCGACCACCGCATACCCCGGCCGCTGGTGGAGAAGGGGGAGAACTCGACCGAGGCCATGCGCCAGAGTCAGGACAGGTGGCTATACTCTTCGGTCGTGTCGTCCGACTACGACCCTGTCCACAAGCGCATCTATACGTCGAGCTTTGACGGCACCGTCAAGGTTTGGACGGTCGAGGATGACGACGACGATGATCCGGGCGGTGACGTCTCCCCCAAGAAGCCTAGCGGTAAGCACATGGTGCTCCTGGCCACGTGGAAGCACGACGGTAATGTCAACTTCGTCGTCGCCGCCAAGGACGGGTCGGGCCGTGTCGCATCGGCGGCAGACACGCCCACGCAGGCCGTCCGCATCTACACGGTGAACCCGGACAACATCGCCGAGAGCCCGTACGAGGCCCTGTCGTGCTCGCGCAAAGACGCCGACGGCACGGACACGTGGGCATACCAGCCGGCAGCGCTGCGGTGGGGCCTGGCGCCGGGGACGCAGCACATGCTGGCGGTGGGCTACTCGCCGCGCAGCGCGAGCGGAGACGACCTGGACATACCGGAGGAGAAGCGGGATTCTGGAGAGATCGTGTTGTGGGACGCCGACGCGCGGCGCCGGATCGCCATAGCGAATGTGACGACGGCTAACGTGTTCGAGATCGCATGGCACCCGACGCTGCCGCGCTTCATCTGCGCGACGTCGCCGTGCGGCAACATGATGGAGCACGGGACGCAGACGCAGATCCACGAGTTCCGGCAGGACCGGGGGCGGCAGGACCCGCCGGCCTTCACTGTGTACCAGTCGCTCGACTGCGCGGCCAAGGACGTCAACGAGCTGACTTACGTGCCCAACTCGGCGTGGCACGCGTACGTGACGGCGGCGTGCACCGACGGCAGAGTGTACGTGTGGGACACAGCTCAGCCCGACGCCCCGCTGCACGTGCTGCAGCACGGCTCCTCGCTCGACGGCTTCGACAAGGACCGCGAGGACCGCGACACGGGCGTCAAGTTCACCGCCTGGGGCGCCAGCCTAGACAGACTGTACACGGGCTCTAGCGACGGCGTAGTCAAGGTGTGGAACGTGCGCCACGCGCGGCGCCCCCTGGTCAGGACCCTGCTCGAGGCCCCGGCCCCGATCTCCAGCGGCGCCTTCTCCCCCGACCTGTCGCGGCTGGCCATCGGCGACGCCACCGGCCGCGTCTTCATCCTCTCCACCAACAGGGCCGACGAGCCGGCATCGCACCGTCTCGCCGTACCCGGCCCCCCCGCGCCCCCGGGCGTGCCGCACCACCGCGTCAGCCGTCGACGTCGACGTCGACCCGTCCCCTTCACGCCCCACCGGGAACCCGACCCGCCACCCCCACTCCCCGGCGCCGCGGCAGGCGATCTCGGCGACCCGGACAGCATAGCCGTCTACGCGAGGGACACGTACCTCTCACCCCGCCGCCTCGTCCCCACGGGCAACCCGGTCGTAGGCATGGTCCAGGGTCCCAACTACGCCTCCACGGGACTCTACTGCCGCGAGGCCCACGAGGACGACGACCCGGCCCGTCCGCTCCTGTCGCACTGGGATCGCATGCAGCGTCGCAGCGTCATGGCAGACAGGGGTCCCGGACGTCGTGCCATGCGGAGGTTGCGTCCCCAACAGCAGCAGCAGCAGCAGCAGGATGTACGTGAGCGAGAGCGAGAGCGTGAGCGTGCAGAGCAGCACTCGAGGAATATGTCGAAGGACTTTTCAACGCGTGACATGGCGCCTGACGATGTTGCCGAGCTGGTGCGTGAGGGGGCCATGCTCTCCCTTGACGGGGAAGAGGAGTGGGCCTTTGATACCGCTGACGACTGGGACGAGGCGTGACGTGGCTGTTCAAGGAACGAGTAGTTTCTTTTTTTTTTCCCCTGGTCCAGGAAACAGAGGAGTCATTATAGTGATGTCTCCCACGATGGAACGAGTCCGTCACCGTCTCTGTGTACAAATACAATGTAATTGTTAGCATAAGTCATTTCGTTTCTTCCATCCCCCCCCTAACGTCATCCAATCACCATGATTTCTTCACCAGCCGTTTTTTTTTCTTCCATTCCCCCCCAAAAAAAATCTTTTCAACGAGTTCATGACCATGAGATTTTTCTATTAAACTTATTTGCTTCTATTTCGTTGTAAAAAAAAAAAGAGCTTCTATATTATTGACTGCTTTTCTTTTTGTGCTTCCGTTTCTCGCCATGTTTCGTATAAAGAATCCGATTCCGCATCTAAACATCCTGTCCCCGAGTAAGAAAAGGAGTTATCCTTGTAGAAAGCTTTGGCCCAAAAAAATAAAAGTAGAAAAAAAAAGAAGATAAAAAAGGCTTGACACCCAGAAATTACACAAACATTATAACGATTAATATTCGTCCCAGCGAAAAATAACAAGATTAGAAGAGAGCATGGGGATGAGTCAAGGCAGAGAGGGAAAGAAAACGCTAATACACAGGTTGTAGGGAGATCAGGTTGCTGTAGTGTGTGTGTGCGCGCCTCTGCATCATGGGTCGTGTCTTGTGTGTGTATGTGTGATGTTGCCAAGATTCGTCTCCCTCCCCCCCCCCCTCCACGAGTATGCAACGATTTCTCATCGCGTTAGTGCAAAGGGGAGGAAGGAGACGGGAAGGGCGCCGATTAGTGCTTAGCGGAAACTTCGTCGCCAGTCAACTTTTCGACGTACGTCTTGGCACTGGCAGGGGATTAGCAAAGAGAAGAGAAGAGAGGAGAGGAGAGGAGGAGGCTTACATGTCACCAATGGCAACCATGCAGACAGTCTGCCAGACACCGAGACCGATGCGGGGGGCGACGCCACGGTAGAGACCCTGGATGCCGTTGTTGGAGTAGATGTACTTGAAGGTGTTGCCGACCGTCATCTTCTTGGGACGGTTGGGGTCCTCCTTCTTGCTCTGCATCTCGACGCGGATGACCTCGATGGGCTGGTTCCAGGCACTGAGGCCGCCACCGATGGCCGAGGCGACCACCTTCTCAGCGGCGCCGAGCTTCTCGTTGTGCTCCTTGCCCGTCGCCTTGCGGATCCAGCTCTCGGCGAGACGGCTGAGACCGAAGCGGCTGCCCCAATTGGTCATCTGGCGGATGGCGACAGCGTTGACACCCTTGTTGATACCACGGATACCTTCCTTGCGGTAGATGTCCATAAAGGTGGCAAAGGTGGAGGCGGGCACGACGCCGGCGGCGGCCTGCTTGTGCTTGGTGATCTCAACCGTCTTCATGCAGGTGCAGAAGCCCATGGTGGCGTAAGCCTGAGCCACACCGCCCGTGATGCCGCCCAGGATGCCACTGCCGAAATCGTTGGCGCCCGCGGCGCGGGCGTAGTACTCGGCCTCGGACGCGACGAAAAGGAGCACGGCACCCTTGGTGGAAGCTTCGATCCAGGCCCAGGGGATGAGGCCCTGGTAGACTTGAGCATCGGACGACAGGTGTCAGTACGGGGAATGCAGGAGCGGCGACAGGGAGATAGCGGGAGGGTGCGGAGGGCAGCGGATGCTTACAGCCAAGAACACCACCTCGGGACCAGATACGTCCCAAGGCAGAGGCGAACCCGTCACCACGGTGAGCAGCCATGGTGGTCTTGACGACCTCGAGGGGCTGACCCAGGGTGGTCACCTCAAACATGTTGAGACCGGCACCCAGGAGCAAGTTCGAGAACTTAACGGGCTTCTTCTCGAGCTTCTGGCTTCCACCAGCAGCAGCGGCGGGGGTAGCGGCGGTAGGTGACATGGCAATATAGGGTTCGACTGCTGAAAAGGGGCCCTGACCAAGGGAAGAGGGTGCTTCGTCGCGTTTGAGGGGGGAGGGTTGGAAAAGATGTTCCGAGGTTTTGGAAAAGTTTGGAGTACTGGGGAGCGAAGAGTCGGCGATGGACTATGTCTGCGTCTGCGTATGCTGTACGATGCTGATTGAGAGGGATGAAAGAGGGAAGGGAAAGAGAAGGGACAGAGATGGGGGAGCTTGGTGCTCCTAGGGTTCTTAGCACAGGTACTCGTACTAGTAAGAAAGCGGGAGCTTCAACAAACGGCCGAATTGATGCCTCAGTTGGGGGGTTTTTTGGCGGTGGCTCACCGGGTTCATGGGGAGGGGGGGGCTTAAGGGGGGTGGGGGAACAGTTTTTAGTGGTGACTCGGCTACTACATAAGCTGCATCCACTGTACGGGTAGCTTGAGAGGTTCCAAGGTGCGCTGGCATCTGGGCCGAGGGATGTTGATGTCTCTCTCTCCTACTTGCGCGATGTCAGCTGCTGATACAGCTTTGCATGTACTCGTACAAGTAAGCACGGCCACTGTCAGACGTGTACATGTACCTTTCTCTCCTCATATGGGCCAAGCGATTTGCATGTGCTTGAAGATGAAGCCTACATATACAGGAACTCGCTCATAATTAGACAGTGGAGCGCTGACTAAGTACAGCTTTTACACACGTCTATTATCAGAAACCTACGGCCAAGTACATGAACGTTCATAGACGTAAAGCTGTAAGATGATGATGATGAAAGAGGAAGCTAAGAGGACGTGGAGAAGGAGAAAGTCAGTCTTACCTAGTAATACGTTACGTTACCTACAAGAGTATCGTCTGCTTACGACCACATGCGCATGTAATACTTGTACATGTATCCGTGAGACAGGAGAGAGAAGACAAAATTGTCGTACAGACACGGCACAGCGTCATGATTATATAACACCTAGATCCAATCACAGCGACTACACCGACCACTCCACTCCACGGTCCTTGGCCTGCCCCGGGCGGCCACAAGTAGGATATTCCAGAGCCTCAGGCACCTTTTTTTTTTTTTTTTTTTTTTTTCATAGGCCAGGGGCAAAGCTTTGGGGTCACCTACTCGTACAGGTACAGCTGTACCTCTCAACACACGACGCGATTGTTGAGTTCTACACAACCTGAGGTTACCACTTTTCTCGGTATTTTACTGACAATTACCTAATGCAGCCCCCCCCCCCCCTTTGGTGGAACAGAGCGCTCAAGTTATATGAATGCAAGACCCTTTTTTGCTTGGCAATCTGCTTTGGTCTTGCTTTTGTTTTTTTGTGTGTGTGTGCTTGTATCGTGACAGCTATTCCTACGAGCTGCTGTATTTCATACTATATCCAAAATCGTAGGACAGACCAGCAAAGATAGCCCACACCTTCTCCAGACTGGAGTTGGACCACGCACCTTGAAAACCCGCATTCTTACATGGGGGAGGAGGGTCGGCGGCCCCACGCTGACAATCACCCGTTAGTAATACGCGTCCTCTCACATGCTGTCCACCCCCCGGTTTCTTCCCCTCCCCCCCCCCCCCTTCCAGACTATCTATCAGCTTGTTAACCGACCGGCAACCGAACAAGACAACAACAGCGTACCCAACCTCTCACCTATCATGGCGTCACGCTGCAGACCCCTTGTTTTTCTCGACTTACTACTTTGAGAAGTGTAAATAAATCCTTGCTTAATTCCTCTGGAGACCTCGGAGGCCGATGTCTTTCTCCGAATCTATTCACTCTTTTCTTCCCCTTTTCAAATTCCCCCATCCTTTTTATTTATTTATTCTTCTCCCCCCGCAGCATCCGCGCCATTTCCCCGCGTGCACCCCACTCGTGATCATGCGGAGAAGCCTGGAAAGATGGACCAGCATGGATTCATTACCCCGTGCTCATTCTCCGTATCGCGTAGTTCTCGAGCGATGTGACCATGTTCGAATGTGGCTTGTCTGCCATGTTGGGCTTGCTCGGGCCGGTACAGTCTGGCCTCGAAGCCCCCGCCCCCGTGTCCCCGGATTGCGGAGTAAGTACAAGTGTTTGGTGGAGAGAAGAGAGGCCCAAGCTGTCTAGACGTAGGCATCCAGCACCCCGTTCAAAGAGGGAGAACCAAGAGATTGAACAGAGAGAAATCAGCCAGGAGCGGGACCCTCCTATCCGTTTTTCATCATGTAGGGTGAAATGTACCCATGTGTACAACTGTCAACAACTGCTACTACGACAACTACTCCCTCTCGTACTGTACAATAAAGCTTAGCCTCCCTGAGGCTTTTGCCCTACCTAATATGTTCCTTCCCTTCCCCCTCCCCCCGAGGTCGGCTTTTCGTTTCCCGCCAAGAGGGGATGTGTTCCTTGTCCACATCGTCCCAAGAGATACGCCTGTTGAAATTTACTTTTTACAGCTTCTTGACGAGTTCGGCCCACTTTTCGGTGGAGAAGGACTTGGGACGCTCGATGGGGGCACCGTAGGCGCGGTCAATGATGAGCTGAGGAAGGACACCGATAGCGCGGGAGACGCCGAATAGGACGGTGTAGAAGTTGCCCTCGGTCAGGCCGTAGTGCTGGAGGAGGACGCCAGAGTGGGCGTCGACGTTGGGGTAAGGGTTCTTCGTCTTGCCGTGCTCGGTCAGGACACCCGGGGCGATCTTGTAAACCTGGCTGACCAGCTGGAACATGGGGTCGTTGGGCATCTTCTCTGCGTGGGAGTTAGCGGCTGTCACTTGCAGGTCGGGAGGAGGGATAGCAGGCGTGTAGGCGAGGATGAGGGGAGCAACGTACCCTGAGCAAACTTGCGCTGGGCCATGTAGCGGGGGTCAGTCTTGCGGAGGACGGCGTGGCCGTAACCGGGGACGACGCGGCCGCTGTTGAGGGTCGACCACAGGTAGTCCTTGATGTTCTGGTCGCTGAGGTTGTCACCGACAGACTTCTTCATCTCGGTGAGCCAGCCGAGGACCTCCTGGTTGGCAAGACCGTGGAGCGGACCGGCAAGACCGTTGAGACCGGCAGCCAGGGAGAGGAAGGGGGAGGAGAGGGCGCTGCCGACCAGATGGGTGGTGTGGGCGCTGACGTTGCCACCCTCGTGGTCAGTGTGGATGGTCAGGTAGAGACGCATGAGCTCGACGAAGTCGGCGTTGTCACCGAAGCCGAGCTGGTTGGCAAAGTTGAACGAGTAGTCCTTGTCCTTCTGGATGGGCGCAACCTTTCCGCCCTTGAAGACGTTCTGGTAGATGCGCGAGGCAATGTTGGGCAGCTTGGCAATGAGGTCCATGGAGTCCTCGTAGGTGTAGGTCCAGTAGTCCTTCTTGTTGATGCCCTTGGCGTAGGCCTTGGCGAACGAAGACGTGTGCTCGAGAGCGGTGACGGCCAGCGAGAACTGGGCCATGGGGTGGAGGTCGGTAGGGCAGTGGTCGATGAGCTCCTCGACGAACTTGGGGATGTCGGAGCGAGCCGCCCACTCAGCCGAGAGGTCGCGGACCTGCTGCTCGGTGGGGACCTCGCCGGTCAGGAGAAGCCAGAAGAGACCTGGATAGCGCACACACGTCAGCATGGACGTCGGAGACGCGGCCAGATGCAGGGGGCAGGCTACTGGGTCTTACCCTCGGGGAGAGGCTCCTTGCCACCGGGAGCCTTGGGGAGAAGCTCCTGGCACTCGGGGATGGTCTTGCCACGGAAACGGATACCCTCCTCAGAGTCGAGGACGGAACCCTCCCAGACCAGGGCCTTGATGCCACGAGCACCACCGTAGACCTGGTCCAGCGTCACCTGGTCGACAATCTTGGAGCCATGCTCCCTGCGGTCGCCTGTTGTCAGCAGCTATATCGAAGGAAGGGGAGGGGAATTCGCGCGGCATTGGAGCCAGCCATGGAGGGAGGGCGAGGAGGGAGGGTTGGTGGAACGTACTTGCGCAGAGCCTTGACCTGCTCAATCTTCTCGGGGAGGGTCTCGGCGAAACGTTCCTTGAGGGTCTGTGACGCGCTCGGGTCAGCTCCGAATTCGGCGGGTAGAGGGAAGCAATTGGGGAGCACAGCCTGGCACGGGGGTCGGTGAAGCTTACCTGGGTCTTAGCGGAGTAGCAGCGGACCGTGTTGAAGGCGGTGGCCCGGCTGATGGAGGAGGCCCGGAGGGCAGAGCTGCTGAGGCGCGCGACGGAGGCCATTGTCGCAGAGGAAGATGATCTGGATAGGGCTTCACTGGGGAGAGATGAGGAGGGACGGGGAAGGATATGAGGAGTAGGACGAGAAGAAGAAGTGGAGGAGGACGGGGAAGAGGCTAAGTATTAAGAAATTAAAAAGACGCAAGCTCGAGAGGAGGGAAAGGAAAAAAAAAAAGGTCGGCCGGATGGGCGGGCAGCCTCTCGGGTTGAGACAGCGACTACGGCTTATTAGGGTACGTACCAGGGTGGCAGAAAAAAAAAAGAGAGAGGGAGAGAGCCAGGGGGGCTTTAGCACGGAGTAGTATCCTGCATGACGTTTCCCCGAGGGCGTTGGGGCCTATCATAGCGCTAATTTACAGCGCCAGCAATCACCACCCCCGCCCCCCTTGGCACCCACCTCCCACGGCTACTACTACTCTTTTTTTGCTTAGATAAATAAAAAAGCCCCAACGATGCATACGTTTCCTCCGCTTTCGGCTGTGTTCTCGGCATTGTCCTGCTACCGTACTGGTCGCTGAGATGACCGTTTGTTCTCTACTCTTGCTGCGTTTTGCTGCCTATAAGTCGTGGGTGCCTCTCACCATTACGTGGTTATGGAGACAGTCCTGTGATAGCACTGGTCAGTCTCCTCCAAAATCTAACCCACACCTGACCAACAAAAGTAACGAGGGCTTGGGTTTATTGCTCCCCATAATAATATACCCGAGTGGTACCCGGACTGACTAATAGACGCTCTCTGAGAGACTCGGCACAATCTGGGGTGAAGGGCCTCCCCACGCCCCGGGGGCAGGGCTGGCCCGGATGGGACCAGTACGGGTGAGAAGGATTCTGCGAGAAGAGGAAGCACATGAAGCGTGGGAAAAGAGCGCGTAGACGTCCTCAGTCTGTCCCTATGTTGCTATGGGCTGCATTCTGAATCGAATGGCACATTGTAGGACCCCCGGGGTCTGACATTGGGGCCAGAGGGTTCGTAATACGGAGGCAGAAAGGTGGTGGTGGGTGGTATCCTGGGTGCAGATACCGTTGTACGTGTACATGTAATGGCATCCCCGCCGTCTGTACGAGTACGAGGACTTTGTGCGGAGTAAGTAATAATACGTAACTACGCACTGTTATGGCGCTGTCGCTGTGTGCTAATAGCACTTGTATTACTAAGGAGCATCGCTGCGCGCACAGTGGTTGAGTGCAGTCTGTAGTCCCGGTGACCCAATAAATGGTCCAGTGCGTGTGCGCTGTAACAACGCAAACGAGTAGGTGCGAAGACGGCTACTGTACGGTGTGCCTCCTTCTGAATTGTTATTGGGTCGAGATCAGCTGAGACGCGTCGTCGGCTAAACCATGGGACTGTCCGCCCTCTGCTGCATTTTTTTTTTTTCATTTGCCCCCTGCGCCTGCCTTCGCTCCAATTTCTCCAGCCTCTTTCCGTTACGCTACTTTTGCCTATTCTCTCTCCTCTTTCCACCATTCTATTTCTCTTTCATCATCAACTTCTTCTTCTTCAACACCACCACCGCCACCGCAACTATCTCGCATGCCTTGCGACGCGGCAGACTCGACCTATCGAATTTAGCGTCTGTCCTCTGCTCATTCGTATCGCCGACCTCTGAAAGAAGAAGCGGGATCCGAGACTCGCGTGACCGTGGTATCGTACTGTGACGCAAGCACTCAGTAGACGCCGAGGGTTTTTTTCTCGCTCTCCCAACTCTATCTTTTACGCGACAAACATACAAGGCTTGTGAGAACCACCAACAAGCTCGATCCCAGGCGGCAATAGCGTTGCATTTTTATGCAGCTTCGCGACCCTGTAATCAGCCCCTTCAAGTTTTTTCTTTCCTGCTCCGCCAGACGTGTGTTGTAAAGCACCGCACATCGTGCGAAGCGCTCGACGCGCTCTGAACAGTCGCGCCCAAGGAGGAGTCTTCTTTCTTCCTTCTTCTAGTCGTGCCAACAAACCTCAATATCGCGTCGCGCATATCGTATATTAGACATTACTGTGCCGGGGCAAACCGTATTATCTCACGACCTTGGTCGATAGAAACCGTCTAGGGAGGTATCATACCATCATCATGGCATCCGCGGTAACCGATCTGGAGGCTGGCCTGCAGGCCATGCTTAACCTCAAGCCTCCTGGTGTATCCGGGTCTCGCATCTCCAGTCTGACAACTCTCTGCGTCGAAAACATTCAGGCATGTCACACCTATTAATGCGTATTGGCCATTCACGGCCGTCCTCGTCATATATCCATCCACGCTCCTTCTCACGTACCTATCCCGCTAACCATGGTTGTGCTCTCTACTACTTGCAGTCCGAGTCTGTACTCATCCAGAAGATTTATACCCACTTCAAGAAGACGCCTGGAACGCACAAGTTGGGGGTTCTATACGTCGTAGACTCTGTAACCCGCAAGTGGCTCGAGCAGGCAAAGTCGCAGGGTCAGGCAGTAAACGGCTCGGCCCCGGATGGCACATACGCTGCTGGCGTCCACAGAGTGACCGAACTGATGCCTGTACTGATGAATGACATTCTTCAGACCTGCCCCGAAGAACAAAAGGTACGCACTTGATGACCTCGGGCACACGGGCTCTCCTCGTCTTGTAGAGCCTAGACGGACCCGAAGACGAAGCGGACCTGCATGTTCCACCGTCCATCTCTATCCTCCCCTCTCCTTCCCTCACACCCATCTCACAGTACCACTGATAGCGATGCCTGCAACGCCCAACTGGCCATCGCATACGCATGTACACGTACTCACACTCGGCTTCTGTAGGAGAAAATAAGGAAGCTGCTTGACATCTGGGAGAAGGGCCAGACCTTCCCCCCTTCCATGGTGGAGTCATTCCGCGAGAAACTGCAGAGTGCACCTCAAAGTAGGCAACCTTGTCACCTGGCCGTCTGCCTGGCCGTATGAATGTAGCTGACTCGTTATACCTCTAGCAGAGACCACGACGACACCCCCCGGCACCCCTCCTCCCGGCCTGGCGGCTTCTATGCAAGGCCCTGTGCCTGCATCTGCACCTGCATATGTCCCCGCTCAGGCCTCGGGCCCGACTCCGGCGGCCCAGGACAGCCAGTCGATCCTGAATGCCCTGGCCAACCTTGCGCGCCAGAGCACGTCGAGCACGCCTACGCCTGGAGCTCCGGGTGCTCCGGCCCCTCCGGCACCGGCGGGGCCGCCGTACAGCGTGCCTCCTGTGGTCGGGCTGCCGCAGCCGATGCCCTCGGCCGCGTCGCAGCCGCCCCTGCCGACGGCCTCGTACCTGCCCGTCTCGCAGCCTGCTCCGGGTCTCCCGTTCTCCCTTAGCCAACTTCTCAGCCAGGCCGCCACGCCTAGTGCTGCCACTCCTCCTCCGCCCGCTCCTGCTCCCGCGTATCCCCCCAACCCTCCTCAATTCGCTGGCGCCGGTGCCGCTGCACCGGGCGGGATGGGGCTGGATCCGCAGCAGCAGCAGCAGCTGCTTCTTGTCAAGGCATTTGCCGACCAGGGCATCCCCATTGACAAAATCCCCGCCCTGCTCCAGGGACTGAGCGCTACCGGCGCAGTCCCCGGCGCGCAGCCCCCTACCGGCCCGGCCCCTCTCCCGCAGGCGTCGTACCCTGCGTGGGGAGGCGCCCAGGGTAGCCGCCTAGATGAGGCGCGTGACTGGAGAGCAGGCTACAACGGAGCAGGCAACAACTCCCCCGGCCACCACGGACGGTCGAGGTCTAGGTCGCCGGACCGTGGCTGGAACGGTAGGGGATCTCCCCGTGGCGGTGGCCGCGACAGGCTAGACTATGGCCGCAACACGCCGCCTCGCGGTCGTGACGGTGGCCGTCGCGGAGCCGAATATAGGAACCGTAGCCCGGGCCGTCGCCGTGGCCAGAGCCCTCCCCCTGCTGAGAAGTGGACGGAGCACGACCCTACCCTGCCCTCCGGGTCCATCAAGGTCCTGAGCCGAACGCTCTTCGTCGGTGGTGTGACGTAAGTGCCGACCTCTGTAGGATGGTGAAGCGACGGGAACGGGACCAGGAAGGCTAACACATGGACGTAGATGCTCCGAGGCCGAACTGCGCAACATCTTCAGCCGCTACGGTACCGTGCAGACGTGCATCGTCAACAAGGATAAGCGCCATGCGTTTGTCAAGATGCTCACGCGCGCCGACGCCGAGAGTGCCAAGCTTGGCACCGAGGACAACCGGAATCTGGAGGTTGCCCTTCGTGTACGTAACCCCCCGACACACCCGGATACGTGCGTTTCTTTTCTTCCTCGGACAGCCCATGCTAACTGTTCTTGTCATCCAGACCCGTTGGGGAGTCGGCTACGGGCCCAGGGACTGCAGCGATTACGCCACGGGCGTCAGCATCATCCCCATCTCGCGCCTGACGGAGGCGGACCGCAAGTGGATGCTCACGGCGCCCCAGGGTGGCAGCGGTGGCAAGCCCCTCGTGACGGGCCTCGTGGTCGAGGAGCCCGACATCGAGATCGGTGCGGGCGTCTCGTCCAAGGCCATCAGCCGTCGCATGCAGACGGACAAGGGTGGGGCCCACGGGCCCAAGTCTACGCGCAACCGCGGCCGCGACTCCGGTGACGACGGGTATCGCGGAGGATCCGCTGACGACTACGGAAACAACGGCGGCAACAGCGGCGGAAACCACCGTGGTCGCGATGGCGGCGGTGTTGCCGGTCAGGCAGGGCAGGCGGGACAGGCGGGACAGGCGGGAGCGTTCCCGTTTGGCATCGGTACCCTGCCAAACGGCATGCCGAATTTCCCTTCCGGGTTCTCGTTTCCCGATCCGGGTGCCGGTCAGGGCAAGTGGGCTTAGTCGGGTCTGAGGGTTGATAGGAAGATTGTGCTGCTTTTTTTTCTTTCTCCTCTTCTCCCGTCGTCTCTGGCATATATAACAATAGCAGTGAAGCTGACGATGGAGGAGGGTAAAATGGTGGATGGCATCGTGGACGGCGTTTGACGTGTTTGGCTACGTATCTCGAGTGGACTCTTCATCTTTCTCTCTTCTCTTTTTTTTTTTTCCCTTTCTTTCTTCTCTTCTTAAATCACTCTAGACTTTTCTCTCCTCTGTGCCTTCTGTGCCTTGTATGTCTTCCCGCCGCAGTGTCTGATGTTCAGCAACATCTTTTTTTTTTCCTTATCTGCTACTCCGTTCCCGTTTCCTTTCATGAGTTCTTTTCCACGGTGTGTCCTTGTACGATGCCATCCCGCTTTCTCTCCAATGCCATCCTCCAACATGTCCTTTGAAAAGGAAGATCACAATGTCCTCTTGGAGGAATTCAGTCCAAGCACACCAGTGTAGATTCCACAAGTCCTTGTGGCTTTTCATATCCCATCGGTCTTCTTTTTTTTTCCTCGTGCATCACCTTTCCTTGTCTCTTTTTTTTAAATAAGATATAAAAAAATAAAGAATAAAAATAATAAAATTTTTAAAAGTGAGTATCTTTCCTGCTCGACGACATGTACATCTCCTCGATCGCATGTACTTCTTTCTGAATGGCAAGTACCATTCTATCTGATGCTATCAGATAGACTATCCCCTCCCCCCCCCCCCTTCTCCCAATTCCTCGTCGCGAAGTGACTGCGCATATGGGGGGGGGGGGGGGGGGGGGGTATCTCCAAGAAAGACTTGCCACGTTTAATGTCTCTCCAACTCCATCTCCATCTCCATCTCCATCTCTCTCTCTCTCTCTCTCTCTCTCTCTCTGACATAGTTTCTACATGATATCACATAGACGCACAGCCGATCACTCTGTGTCCATCTGCCGAGTACGTTTCTCCCCAAGCCACCATGCAAGATTAGAAATAAAAATAACTATAAATATCCAGTAAATTCAATATGGAGATGTATATATAAGAATAAAAAGATGGGGAAATGGCAATGAAGATGAAGATGATACAGATGAATAATAAAGAGAAAAATTAAATATATATAAAAAAAAGACAAGATCGACGTTGAGAGCTTCTTGGCAATGTCCATCTCCCTGCAGTCTGCACCTCGCCACGGGCTCTCTGTCTCTCTTGACCTTGTCTAAATCCATCATGCCGTGTATGAAAGGCTCTCCCTCGCCCACATGGACTTGCCCTTCTTCTTTTCTAAATTTATCCTTTTACCTTATTCTTAATTCTAATAAAAAATAAAATAAAACCATGTTGTCTCTCTATTGTGGCGCCCTCCTCCCCCCCCCCCACTGATGATCATAAGTCGGTAATAGAAGAACCATGAGAAGGAGGAGATGATGCAAATGCCGTCATTGGTGAAGGGCTAAGACTTGCTGCGCAAGACCAGACCCGATACATGGATCGTCGCACACTTGCGCCCCCCCTCTGCCCCCTTCCCCCTCCCCCTTCCCTTTTGCTAGGAGAAGAGTGATCGACGGGACCGAGAGACCAGGAGAGAGAGAGGGGGGGGGGCCGGGGGGTCATCACGTATGGACACATGCATATACAGGAAAGAAAAAAAGAAAAAACTTAACAAGGTTGTTGTTATTTTAAGAGAAACAAGCTTATCAAAAGTTCGTTCACTGGGAAAAAAAAAAAAAAAAAAAAAAAAAAAAAAAAANTTATTTTAAGAGAAACAAGCTTATCAAAAGTTCGTTCACTGGGAAAAAAAAAAAAAAAAAAAAAAAAAAAAAAAAAAACATGGGGGGGGGGGGATGGACTCTATCTTCCTTTCTTTTCTTTTCTCTTCCTCTTTCATCATCTTTCTTTCCTTGAGCGAGGCTGGGGTCTTGGTGAGACAGCAGCACACCCGGTTTTTCCCAATGACTGATGACGCGTTCTTGACGTGTACGATGATGATGATGTGACGATGATCCGAGGGATGCTCTCCGGTGGAGGAGAGACAGACGTGGCTTACCCTATATCTGAGATGGGTGGCGAGGTAGAGAGAAGAGTCGATGGACGTGCAGTGATGCCTGCTGGGCTGTGCCATCGACCGGCTTTCTTCTCCGTCTTTTCTTCTGCTGTTTCCTCTTGGCCTGTCCTGTCCTCTCTTCCGCTGTTTTTTTTTTTTTTTTTTTTTTTTTTCGCGTCAATTCTATTGTTAGATATCACGATGCTATCTTTTTTGGAGAGAGAGAGAGAGAGATCTGATTCACTGTCGTTGTGTATGGGGAGGCTGAACACGATACGTCGCGGGACTTAGCAGCAGCAGTACAGGTTACATGGTGCGACCTCTGCCATCTCCTGACGTGAATGGTGAAGTATAGCGAAGACCAATCAATGCTGACCCGTACGAGATGATGCGTTGCAAGATTCATCAATCGAAGTAATACCTGCACCGCGTATTAATCAATACGTCGTACAGCAACGTGGGGACTGACAAAATGAGATTGTGCATGCGCTCTAGGGGAGCTAATATCAATACTACTCACCACTCACTACACTCGGCCTACGCTACCACACGGATACGGAGGGAGTATGGATCGGTATTCCATCATGTACGGGACCGCGACTGTACCGGATACACATCAATCTACCCTGGCCTACCTGCTACGGAGTAGAGGAGTAAACACTGTATCGTGTGCTGACGAGACTTGATCCGTACGAGAGTGTACGGATATATCGTCGACATCATCTGCCTGGCCTACTCGCCGAGTACGTACACAATGCAAAATTGTCGTCGGACACCAGGGGGGGGGGGGGAGGTAGAGATGGGTCTGACTACTTTAGTAGTAGACGATGGAATCAGTTGAGATATATTGACGGGGACGGGTGGTAAGGGGGAAGGAATAATGGCGCGAGTTATCACTACGGAGCTAGAACAGTACAGTACCATGCAAGTCTCTCTACTCAACACAAGCCGATGAAGCGTGGGACCTTCTTGGCCAGAGCTAGAAAGGGCTGGATTCTGCCAAGGGAAAATGAAGAATGTATATTTTTTTTTCATTTTTTTTTCAAAATTAAAAAAAAAAGAATTAAAAAAAAAGAGGAAGTTCAAATAAAAACAAGAACCGTACGGGAGAGGGAAAACAAAACAGAGGGATATGTCGAGTTCTAGTCCCTACCATACGTCGTAGTACCGTGATGATTTACCCCGGCTGAAACGTGACCCCGTGTATCACGTCGTTTTACCTAAACAAAGTCCCCCCGATGGCGATAGGGTCGCATCACATAGCCTGCAGAGAGGCCAGGGTCGTCCTTCTCTCCCCTCCCTTCTCCTTCTTCTTCTCGTAAGAGGGAGACAGGAGAAGCCGGCAGATGAAGAGTCTCCTACGACGTCGGATCCGGGAAGAAGGGGGACCAGGGACTCGCTCTGGCAAGCACGGTACCGAATTCGTCTCACCACCCATGCGAGAGCAAACCAGTTCTGCTCGTCGTGGTCCATCATCACTACCCCCGTAGTCCGAGAGGCGGAGAGAGAGGACAGACGGGAAGGTATCAGCCAATATCGGAGTTGGGACGGATCAATCTCTTCTTCTTCGTCTTCACATCCACGTCTACCTTGGTCGTCTAGAGAAACGCAGACGATATATATGCATATATATATATATATATATATATATATATATATATATATATATATGTGTGTGTGTGTGTGTGTGTGTGTGTGTGTACATATAGATTATAATCTGTATATATAAACGAGACGGACAAGGCGGATCTGTCAGGGTCGGTGCTGGCACAGATATGTACGGGATGGGGTGCGATACGATGAATGTGCAGAGAGGTGATGGACTGTCCGTCACTGCTAGTGTCCCTGCGAGTTCACCTACGGATGAGAGAGCAAGACACTGCAGGTACTGCAATATACGAGGGGCACTATCATCACTTCATCACTTACCGCTCCATCGTAATAATGCTGCAGACGAATACTACCGCTACCGGTAATGATACTACCGGTAACGGTCACCACACAAGATCCTGGTCGGGATCGGAACAGAGAGACCTCGCCAATTCGTCGCGGTATTACATGGCAAAAAAAAAAAAAAAAAAAAAGTTCTGGTGCCGAACCCCGATGCCGAGTTGGTCGGAACCCGATGCGCGCCCCCCCCCCCCCCCCCCCCCTCCCCCTTGTTCTGCGCTGTCGCCGGTTGACGGGAGAAGCTTACAAGTGACGAGAGATTGGACCATCACGCCCCCCCCTCTTCCCCATCGCATGTGGTAATATCACTCAGCAGCAGTCCGGTTTTCTTCTTCCTCTCTTTTTTTCTCCCTCTCTCTCTACCTGTACGTGTTGCTCGGTACCTCGTGCCGAGAATGGTCTGTACATGCATCTCGAGTACCGGTAGATTATCATATCCTCGGATGCTACGAACAGCAGAGTTGCAGAGGCTAGGCGGAAAGCCCTAGGGGTCCTCTCGCGTATGCAGGACCTGACACACACGGGGAAACAAGACGGGCAAGGCCAAGACCTGGAAGAGTGGAAGGGGAGGCAGAAGCGCTGTCAGGTTTATTCACGGATACGGCTACTGTCCCTCATTGCTACTCGTGCGTACTGATACTACCCGTACATGATATATGGAGTATCCAAAACTATAAAATAAGATAAAATAGAAAAGCGTTATGTGATGGGAAGGGATTTTGGAAGAGAGGGGGGGGGGGAGAGAGAGAGAGAAAAGGGGGTGGAACTGTGATAGAGTGGCCATTAGCGATTCAGGTCATGGTGAGCTAAGCACAATTCGTATGAATCCCGACGGCGCCAGAGAAGAAAAAGAAAAAGAAAAAAAAGGCCTCACTCATAGGCCATTCGCATGACATATACCTCGGTACCGGACTCGGCAACCGTCAGTCTTTTTTTTTTTTTTTCCTTTTTTTCTCTCTTTTTTCTTCCCTTTTATTCCCCCCCCAATATATACTTTTTTTTTTCTTCTT